ATTCAAAGTTTCTACCAATCTTATAGAAATTTCTATCAGATTTTAAAATTTAGTCGGGTAGGAAAATTGTCATGTCATTCCTATAATGCAATACTTCTCTTGGCATCTCTATTTTCATTCTAAATCTATTAGATATTAACAAGAGTAGTATATCTAGAAGAATAAGTACTCAAGGAGACTATAATTTCTAAAAGTTTATAAATTGATCCATATTTAGCATAATCACGAAACAACTTTTGGTTGAGTCTTTATTACATTGTTTTGTTAGTACTGTTTAGGAAAGTGATTTAAAAAGTATATTTTAATTTATTATAATTCTTTGACAATTCAGCAGAAAAGAATTTATTTTGAGAGATATTGATAATGATCAGGTTATCAAAATATGATCACCAATCATATATTCTCTGTTTTTATATTAAAACCATAGAGAAAACAAAGCAAAGATAGAGAAAAGCTAAATGTTGTCAAGTAAACTAAAGTTTAGAAAAACTAATATTTCAAAGTTGAAAAGTACATGATAAAGGCAAGGTGCTTCAAAATCAAATACTAAGGTTTAATTAGTTCTTGTTAATTTGTACAAGCAATTAGAACAACCTATGCACATGCCAAATTAAAATTAAATGCACATTTACTGTTGCAATAATATTACAACACATTTAGCTCATAATGAAGGAGCTTTGATAAAATAATTTCTATACTGGCCTTCAGATTATTTATCCAAGTCTATATTTGCAAAGTTTTATTTTTTACAATCTGCAAAGTTTTGCCATAAAGTTTGGTTGATAGATATAGTTAAACAACTTAGCTTTATTGTGTAATAAATGTAAATTTTGTAGTTTTGATTTCGTCTAATTTCAGTATTTACAAAATTTCGTGGAGTTATTTTCTAACAATTTTGACATAGTTTTTATATGTTTAAATTTGTATATGTCTGAGATAATTTATCCTCCACCAAAATGAGACACTGCTTGCTAATCAGCGAATATTATATTTAATATAAATGTAATTTCATGGTAAGTATATTTAACCAAATTCATATAAAATAGTTATTTTTGAAATCTCAAGAAATATTTTATATGAATTTGTAGGGTTAAATATACTTACCACAATCCGAAACCACCCCTATAATAAATTCAGTTTTTGTTCACACAATTGTAATTATTCAATTAAACGACAAATTAAAACTGAAGTTACTGTATGTACACGGGTAAATTATGACGTAGGTGAGTACATCTTATGGATGTATTTTTAATCACATAGTTAATTGCGATGAGAACATGTTGTGAAAGCAAACATATTCTATATAATATAAATGTAATGTCATGGTAAGTATATTTAACAGTATAAATTCATATAAAATCTATTCTTGAGATTTCAAAAATAACCATTTTACAGTAATTCACAAAATTATCGATTTGAATTGTTTCCATTTGTTATATGTAAACTGTATTTTCTTGCAAATAGTTAATGGGAGCTAATATATCGAGATATTATGTCTTATCATGACATATCTCATAAAGATAAAGAAATGCATGGCTTACATCTTTTCTTGATTTTTTTACACAAGGCACAACTAATAAGACTTTTAGATATGTTAATTGTACATAACGACATGCACTAATTTGTTTATGTTAGAATCAATATCATTTTGATAATGAATTACTTTTAGCCGACTTTTCATACCTTCCCCAAACGCCATTATCCAGAAGAAAAACTTGTGACAAAAGAGATAAGAGAACGTGGATGCCCTGATAATCATTTCAAATTAAGCAAAATAAAATGATCTACATATATCTGTAGCAAACATTTCAGGGGCAAAAACTGACTACCGGAAAAAAGTCCTTGCACAAGACATCCTTGTAACAAAAGATGAACAGGTAAACAACAATGATCTAATCAGTAATTGAACATTTTAGTATTCAGATAAATACTCTGTTATCTTTATTAATTTGTAATTATAATTTTATAAATTTACAAAATTTGTTTTTTAAAAACAAATGCATATTTGTGCGTTGGGTATCTTTCACCAAATACTGATGTAGGATAACTACAGTTTTCACCATGAACACCTCCACTGACATTCGAAAAAGATACATGAACAGTCATGTGCTGTTTTTTTTTTTTTTTTCATTGCTGCATCAACTTAAGTTCGCACAGATTAGTAACATGTACCACTTTTAATTGTGTCCATGACATTGGTGACACTGGCACTTTTGACATACTGCTCCCCTTTGATTAAAGATCTGGAAGTCATATTTTAAAAATCAGTGTCAGGTTTTTTAATCTTCTTTTAACCGAATTAAACTGTCTAGAAGGTGGTGGTATATATATGACCAAAGTCTAAGTTTTGTTGAATCGGATTGATAGGAAATTATTACAAGCCTAAAACAGGGCTAGTGTTAGGTTCTTATTTTTTCTCAGCAGAACTTTCCTTTTTCACTGTCTTATATTTGGTTTTATCCCTGTTGACGCTGAAATCATTATGGACTGCTTTATCGCCGGTTAAAACATCTGTTCATCTGTAATAAATAAGAGTATTTAATACTTTTCTCTAACAATTGAGGGTACTTTCTTCCCTTATTTTTGTAATTTTATATTATTAATGTATTTATTTTAGAGAAAAACAATATTTCCTTTAATTTAACCTAAAAAGAAGTAGAAGTTATTGAAATACCACGTGAGTCCAAAATTGAAAACAAGAGAAGACTTGTCTGTTTATATTAAATTTTTAAAAGTGTAACTATGTCAATAAGAAAGATGAGTCATTGAAAAGTCAACTGTCAAACAGCACCTTCCAATATTTATATCGACTATTTGTTCGTCAGGTGGAAAATGTCAACAAAATGAATAAGCGTTTCGTAACAGGTCACCCACCTTCGTTTTCTAGAAGCTGTCATACTACGGTACTGTAACTATTTCTTTAGTTGGACATTTCCACAGCTTTCAAAATCGTTTAAATGTATTTTTGCCGCAGGAATATATTCATCAGTTAAATTAATTGTCATATAATCGTGAGAGGATGACATTGTTATTTCTGATTTGTTTGCCTCAATTGCGGTCGATTAGCAATGAATATGATTTATCAGTCATGTGACCACATGACTGATAAAAGAGGGGCGAAAGATATCAGAGGGACATTCAAACTCATAAATCGAAAATAAACTGACAACGCCATGGCTAAGAAAGAAAAAGACAAACAGACAAACAATAGAAAACAAAACACAACATAGAAAACTAAAGACTAAGCAACACAAAAATGATAAATGCACATTCAGTTCTAATTTGTGACGTGTCTACACCAATCTGTTGATGATCATCGGTGAAATAAGTACAAAATGTAGTAGCAGTAAATGCCTTGTAATACAACTTGCGATACAAAGTAGCGGAGCTGTTAAAATTACAATATGATTAGAAATGACTTAAATGTGTTGTACTCTAATGTTTTGATTCAGACACTGAAGCCGTCCTTTTTAAGACTGTTTCTTCGAAAAGAAAGTCTACGGACGAAACATTTTTAAATGTATACCTACAAAAAAACATCTGTTTCTTCCATTTGAAGAAAAAAATGCACAAATGCCAAGAAACAGAAACTTTGAAATTAAATATAAAGTTTTCGAATTGAAACATACACAAAAGCATGTTGTTGGGTATAAGATCTCAGAAGACTGTTGTATCTTGGCATTTGAATTCAGTAAACGGAATGACGAAATGACGAAAATAGAATAACGATTACAAAAAAAAAAAAAAAAACAAAAAAACCAGATCAAAACAGTTAACCTATAATGGTTTACTTTTATAAATTTTGACTTGGATGGAGAGGTGTCTCATTGGCACTCATACCACATCTTCTTTCATATATAAGTCTATGCTAGCGGCATAATATAATACAAACAGAACAATAATCATTGATACTAAATATTTAATCTTTGAAAGGTATACCTCTTTTTTATGCAAACCATGGATCATACAATAAAATTATGGCTCCTTTACGTTTGGTCAAGTCCCTAAATTATTATCTACATGTATATAACACATTATGTTCTGTCATTGTTTATTTACTAATTGAAATGTTAACAAGGGTTAGAAATTTGTGCTAACAAAATTCAATTAAAACTATGTTGAATTGATTGTTAAGTACATCGTGCGAGATTATATATGACTGTATTGTACAAAGGTGCGGAAGATACAAACACATTAGTCGGAGACAAACTGACAACGCCGTGACAAAAGAGGGACGAAAGATACCAGAGGGACAGTCAAACTCATAGATCGAAAACAAACTGACAACGTCATGGCCAAAAATAAAAAGACAAACAGACAAATAATAGTACAGATGACACAACATAGAAAACTAAAGACTAAGCAACACGAACCCCACCAAAAACTGGGGGTGATCTCAGGTGCTCTGGAAGGGTAAAAATAGAAACAAAACGACCAAAAGACAAACAACAGTCTACAAAACACAGCATAGAAAGTTAAGACTGTCAAACAACTCCACAAAACAACGGGGGTGATCCCGTGTGCTCCGGAAAGCAAATATATCTTGTTTTGCATGTGGAACCCGTATTATTGCTAATGCAAATACTAATTCGATGAAAAGTTTATTTCATTGATTTCACATTCGATGAAAGAGAACGGGATTGTGGTTATGACATTTTGAACATATAACCAGTCATATATGAAAAAGATATTTCGAAACGTTCAACGAACTCTTTATGGCGTCCGTTCATTTATTAATGGTTTGACTTCAACTTCATCATGTTCACCACTTTTAATCCTTCGTGTACTAACTTCCATGTTAGCAGCAACCTTATACCAATGGAGCTGTTGTTTAAGGTTTTCTGTATCAATACAAATCTGATGGTCTATGGTAACCATTAACCACTCTCATTAGTTAATGTATATTTTCAAAAGGATTCAGTTATTAATATATACTTTAAAACTTTGCATGTTGTTGAAGACTGTACGGATTTTTCATATAACACATATATAACATTTACTCACACATCTGATCTTTTCTCCTTCCTGAAAGATTGAGATTATCAAATTGTCAGTTACGCAAAGAGCTGATTGAATTCAATCGTTTAATTTGTTAGCATTTTATACAAATATAAAAGTATACAAAAAACAAATTGTTTTCTGAAGTTAAATATCTATTTATGAATTGTAATGTGCCTTAACCATTTTTCGAAGTGTTTAAATGTTGATTGCCTCACTATATGGAGAGCTAATTAGAAATTAATTATGATAATAAAATGCTTTCAAAGCGTTCAAAATAATCTAAAGGCTAGTGATGAAATATAATGCAACACTAAAGTTTTATGTATTTTCGCTTTGTCTTTGATTTCTGGAAAGAAAGTTTTTTTGTAATTGTAAATAGTATTCAGAACTTTTAATGATTTTCAAAGCTTGACAATAATGTTTGTCACAAGTTGTTGATAAATAGTTTTTAATAGAACACAACCAATGCGTGAAATATGTCGTAAAAAGATTGGTATCCATGGTTTGATATACTATTGTTTCAGAAAAGGGAGAAGGTTTGGTACCATTAAAACGTTTAATCCCGCTGCAAATGTTTGAACCTGTCCTAAGTCAGGAATCAGATTACAGTAGTTGTCGTCTGTTTATGTAGTTCATACGTGTTTCTCGTTTTTCGTTTTTATATAGATTAGACCGTTGGGTTTTCCGTTTGAATGGTTTTGCACTTGTAATTTGTTGGGGCCCTTTATAGCTTGCTGTTCGGTGTGAGCCAATGCTCCGTGTTGAAGGCCGTACCTTGACCTATAATGGTTTACTTTTATAAATTGTAACTTGGATGGAGAGTTGTCTCATTGGCACTCATACCACATCTTCCTATATCTATTTAAATGCAAATTCATATGCTGTTCCAAAACATTTTCAGTGTATTCAATGATTTATTGATTGGTGTTTTACACTGAAGTCTTTTATTGTCGAACTGCGCATTTAGTGCAAAATGATTGATATCGTTAATGTTATGCTTTTCAGTGGCGGCCAGTTTTTGTTTTTGTGGTGGAAACCAGAGTGCCTGAAGAGAACCACCGATCTTTTTTAGGAAAACTGACAATCCTAATCAATTAAGATGGACGTCGAGCGTGACCTGCCAGGTGCGGGATTCGAATTCACAACCTCAATGTTGACAGGCAAGTGATTCAGTAGTTTGACAACTTAAACCAGTCGGCCACCGTGTTATCTGTATACACTGGTGTTACATTTATACATCTTGTTAACAAACAAAATTGTCAGTGGATTTTGAATGTTTCTGCTTAGAACTTGACATAAACAGTTACTTTTTATTTTCTTAACTCCATGGTTTGTTTTCAAGACATTTAAACATTGTAAATTATTTTCTGGTTTTAACTGATCATTTGAGTCTTCTTTGTGTACATGTTCAGATTTTGCATGATATAATTGATATGTTCCTCATATTATGGACTCATATTTCAGGTTTTGTTTGTTTGTTTGTTTGTTTTTTTTTTTTAACCTCACCTTAAACCTTATTTGTCGTCATTATCATGTTTATATTTTAGTTGTGCATTTTTTATACGTGTGCATGCAAAACAAATTTCTTGGTAGAGGGGTCTAAATACAGCACAAACAACATTTTCCAAAAGACCAAAATTAGTGAAAAAGTATATTTTAACAAAACGCATTTGACTAGCAGGTCGAACAACTGATGTTCTTAAACCCTGCTGACTGCCATTGGCGATTGACAAATAAACGGATCACAAGATGTAACAAAATAGATCTTTTAATTATTTATTACCAAACAGAAAACAATAAACTTGCGGAAAAAATGGTATACCTCAAACACGAGGTGCAAAAATGTGTACACCATATCCGGATTTCGACAATTAATGTCTCTTCAGTGATGATAGGAATCGAAACGATATTTGGAAGGCCATATAATTTACCTCAATTTAGGATAGACTCTTGAATTTTTAAAGAGTCAAAATAGTATGAACGGATCATATAAACCACAAAGCAAAAATAATACAAGCCCAAACGAAAAAATATAAACAAGTCTAAATTGAAAACAACGTTCAAACCTATGATTGCGTTGGATAAAACCCGCAATTTTTATACGTGTGCATGCAAAACAAATTTCTTGGTAGAGGGGTCTAAATACAGAACAAACAACATTTTCCAAAAGACCAAAATGAATGAAAAAGTATATTTTAACAAAACGCATTTGACTAGCAGGTCGAACAACTGATGTTCTTAAACCCTGCTGACTGCCATTGGCGATTGATAAATAAACGGATCACAAGATGTAACAAAATACATCTTTTAATTATTTATTACCAAACAGAAAACAATTAACTTGCGGAAAAGATGGTATACCGCAAACACGAGGTGCAAAAATGTGTACACTATATCCGGATTTCGACAATTAATGTCTCTTTAGTGATGTTAAGAATCGAAACGGTATTTGGAAGGCCATATAATTTACCTCAATTTAGGATAGATTCGTGAAATTTGAAAGAGCCAAAATAGAATGAACAGATCATATAAATCCGAAGGCAAATATAATACAAGTCCAAACGAAAAAATATAAACGTTCAAACCTATGATTGCGTTGGATAAAACCCGCAATTTTTATACGTTTGCATGCAAAACAAATTTCCTGGTAGAGGGGTCTAAATACAGCACAAAAAACATTTTCCAAAAGACCTAAATTAGTGAAAAAGTATATTTTAACAAAACGCATTTGACTAGCAGGTCGAACAACTGATGTTCTTAAACCCTGCTGACTGCCATTGGCGATTGCCAAAATAAATATATATATATACTAAACAAGTCTAAAAGGGTACAACGGCACCAAAAGAATAGTAAAATCATATAGAAATGTCTGATAACTAAGATTCTTTATCAGTAAGTTGTTAAATGATTCTTATCTTGACATGAGGTAGTCGAGCTGAAATAATAATTTTGATCGTCATACAAATTATCACAAATCAATACGCTGGTAATTGTTTTCAATATTGATGGTCAGGAGGAGAAATAAATTCCTTAAAACTATGAAAGTCCTGTACTGAAGACTAAGTTAGAGGAAACAAGTGATGGTAGGGACTCATTCTATGTTTTTTTTTCATTAATGCCCTCCGAGGAAACTGTCTAAACTTTCTTATCCATAAACTTTCCCAAATAAGTCTGTCAACCCTTGACCAACCCTCGTTATGGTCTATAATAGTGATGGTAAGGTTTTTGAGTTCAGCTTTGGCGTGCCAAGGTGATCTCAAATGACGACTTATGGGGAAGTCGGGCTTGCAGTTGTAGTCACTCCGATGACCATTCGTGCGTTTGTTGAATGACTGTTCTGTCTTGCCAACATACTGCTTGCGACATCGACACATACTCGTAACAATCCAACACCCTCGTAAGAAAGATCGTTGACTAATATCTAGACGTTATATATGTTTATATATATATTTACACCATGTCAATATGAATAATATTTAATAACTTACCGACATTTTTTACATCTATAAAGGTATCTACCTTGCTCTATGGGTTGTGTATGCTGTCTTGTTGCTCTATAGTGATAAAAAGGTGAAAACAAAATAATCTGTAGTTGAATTATTATTATGATACCTATATTTTGATAATACGTAATTTAATATTACCTGGAACATTTGTTTTGATTTTTTTATATATATTTAGTATACCACAGATCAGGGGCAAACTTTTCAGAACACACAACAGTTCAGTGTGTTGTTTGTTCTATATGGTGCAAACAACAAATGATTACATCAAAGACTTTACTATATTCATCTTCGTCTTTCTACCAAAGTCTTTAATAAACTAATCATTACTTTACTATACATGCCCTTCAATTTTTCCCTAGTTTTTATGGGAATTAAATTTGCCTGAATATACTGTTCTGGAATAAATGTACTTGTAGCTGTAACTGGATTAGCTACTGTCAGCCATTACCGATTAGTCACCGATCAGCCAAAGATCACCTAGGAGTGAAAATCTTTTCTGCTGTCGGATGATGAATCTGTACATTCGACAGATCGGAATATTACGTCACAACTTTAAATAATTAAAATTAAAAAAAGGATGAAAAATGGCAATAAAACTAGTTACTTTATTTCAGTGCCTTTCTCCTTTCCCTCATACGCGTCGCATCTGACCTCTGTAATTATATATAATCGACCGTCAAACATCAAAATAAACGTATTACGAAGTCTTAGAAGGGGTTATGCAGTATTTCCAAACTGGAACAGAAACATATTGATAGTCTAAAGATTAGACAATGTATTGAGAATTTGAAAATACAACGGAGCCAATCAATAAGCCTATGTCGGGGTACCTTGGTGACAGGATGTACAAAATTAATTCGTGAACATAATGAAATGTTTAGACAATACTGGCACAAGAACATCCTACTCTTGATGAAAAAAATCATTAACAGTAATGCAAAACGCAAGGCGTGATTGAAAATATTAATATTGAATATGGATTGTCAAATTTATCAACATCAACATTTTCTTATATTTTTCAAGCTGTACGTAGATAGACCAATATTAATCAACAGTCACCCATTCAACAGCTAACATCTTTTAAAAGAAATATACTTTGTTTAAATCAAAGTTGAATGTGAATTGTAATGAATGAAAATATTTTTTTAGAACTGTATTATCACGGTTTTTAATCATAAAAAGTACCGAAATTCTTACCAAAATATAAATTAATTGTGTTGCTTACAATGAATTGTGTAATGTGTGTTAAAGATAATGCATATTTAAAGGTTTTTATTGTCGTAGAACACACCGAGGGGTGTCAGGATTGATCAAATGAAAGACCGACCGTAGTGAGGTCTTTCTTTGGGCAATCCTGACACCCGAGGTGTGTTCTACGACAAGAAAAACCTTAAAATATGCATTATCTGACTTATATACCGTCAACAAATTTTTATTTTTTATAAAGATTTGCAGAATTTAGCATCCTATTTTACCAACCACACTAAAGCCCCATTACTATGTAGCAACATTCCACCAGCACGTGTAAAATGAGTATATATCTCCTAGTTGATATAATATTCCAAGGCTGGTAATCTCTTTCATACTTTTCTTGATAGAGGGTTGCTGCTCTCAAAGAAAGCTATTAAACCATGAGTCGAAATTGAAATTATTTCTTCGTAGAATTTACGGACACCATCATGAGTTGATTGACGGTTATGGAATATCCTTTTGACAGATGATGAAAACGAATATGCGTCAATTGTCGCAACTACAATCCCGTCCCCTTATTAGAATTCGGATGTGTACTAACATGAGAACACGACAGGTGCCACATGTGGAGCAGGATCAGCTTTCCCTTCCGGAGCACCTGAGTCCATCCCAAGTTTTGGTGGGGTTCGTGTTGCCCAGTCTCTGGTTTTCTATGTTGTGTTTTGTGCACTGTTGTTTGTCTGTTTGTCTTTTTTTTCAGCCTCGGGGTTGTCAGTTTATTTTTTACTTATGAGTTTGAATGTCCCTTTGGTATCTTTTTCTTTTCTTTTACTTCCTGTTGAAATATTAATCCACCAAATTCACTGATGATATCAACCTTTGTGTACGTGTTGTTCAAACCAGTATGGTACTTCATAAACTAAGATTTCGTTACCTAAAATTTCGTAAGTGAGACAATTGTTGTTGTCTAAACCGTCGAAAAATCAAAAGTTGTGATATTACTGCAAAATAAATTGTAAGAACTTTTAGGAGTTAAGTATCTACATGTGAACGACACCCCTGGTCAAAATACATCTTATCGCAACATTTCTGAAGGCCAAATACTACTGTGTTTATGATTCAATTATATAATTGTTATCATCCTTTTTTGTAAGTATCAATGGACAGAAGAACGAAATTATGATTGTCTAAACGCGCCTAATTCGAGAATGTTGTAGAGGTAAAGGTGATATTTCAAGGTTTGATGTTTGTATATAAGAAACAATATCGTGGAAGGCTTTGTCTGCTAGATATTCAACACATTTGATATTAAGAGAGGTTAAAACATACACAACCTCATGCTTTTAAAAGGGTTAAAAATTCCTGTGATCATTGTTTATTTTAAATTTTAACTGTGCTTCGGAATGCATGAACAAACAGCTTTAATCCCTTCAGATAAATTGTCCAGTTAACGTTAAGCTGGCTCGAACCTTACCTATATGCTCTAGAAGTTACATAAACAGCAACATGCATTTTGTTAAGCAGCAGAAAATCTTACACGATGAAAAACAAAACATTCCCAAACTGTCAGATTATTTGTTGATGGTTTATTGACAAACTAAGAACAAAACAAATATTTCGACTAATTATATTTTTGTGAAAGATACAATATTTAACCTAGGTATTCCACAGTTTTAGTGATAACTGTTCAGCTTTGTATTTTCGTTCTTTCTTGCAGAGTGCAAGTAAATATGAACTGAAAGCTGTTATTTGGATACTATATATAGCAAATATACAACTGATAAATATTTGTTAAACATAAATGTAATTATGTTTTATTGTAAGATTGCATGTATAGGTGAAAGTAGTCTTTCTGAATTAATTAACCTTATCTTAAATGATCCAAACAATTGTCTGATGTCGTTGTCTGTTGAAGATTTAGCCTCGTACTTCACGGTTGGAAACTCAGGAATAGCCTCGATTTTAAGTTTTACAATTTCATCGGTTAAGTTCTTCAAAGCCTGTCTCTTTTTTTCATCGTTTTTAGTTTTGAAAAGTTCCTTGCTTCTGTTATTGAAAATTAGTGCTGCCTTTAAAACATCCTTGTTTTGTGCTATTATCGTTGTCAATTTGTCTCTATCTTTCTTGGATTGATCCTTTAAAGATTCGATCATCTGACTAATATGTTTATCAATCATAGCTTTAAGTTTCCCTCTTCGTCTGTAATAGCTTTGATTACAATATCGACCTTCTCGTCAAATGATGATAATCCCTGCTCAACCTTTTCCATGCTTGAAGATGCATCCTTTATCTTTTGACGTAGTTCTTGATCATTCTTTTCTTTTAGCTCTGAATAGCTGTCCAAAATCTTTGACAACTTATAACCATTGTGTATGTCAGTTACACATGAGCTGCATACTGGAACATTACACGTTTTACAAAGGAAGCTAAAGTCTTCTTTGTGTTCTTTACATTTCGATTTACCTGCCGGAATAACGTCCAAAGCAGACTGAAACACATGACCCTTCGAAATGTTCTGTTTTTTATGAAATATTTTACACTTTTCACAAAAGTATTGTTCACACTCTAAGCAGTAGTGGGATCCTGGAGCATTTTCACAAATCTCACATGTTTTACAAGCTGCCTGTGCCATTTCGTCACTTATCGGTTAAAATGTTTAACACTAAGGTGAGGTAAATAACCAATGACAAAAGCCATTGAAATTCAATTCAATTTTATATAGTGTATGTCTTGCATTTAAAGTGTTAACTGTGAATCATAAAACTTATTTTAAATTTTGGATATAATAAGCACACAGTTTAAATACAATACTTGATGTATTTACTATTGTTCTGTATACTACTACTGTTTTCTTAAGAATTGGTTTAAATGACTGGCTATGGTTAATTATTATTTGATATATAAGAACATGTTAAACATTTTCTTATACAAACTGTATATGTATACAAACACAAATATATTGCAAACATCTGAACCATGATAGTAAGCGGTTTAGAATATCTTGAAAGGTTTTTGAAAGTTTTCAGTATTAGGAATTCAGACTAGTATTTTCATTATTATCTCTTATTCTCTAATAACCTTGTACATTCAAAAATAAGGTTTTTATTCAATCGCATAGAAGTCATCATTTTGCTAAAATGCATATCAGTCTTCATCACCATAAAACCTTGCGAGATATCTAGTTGGTATTAATCGGAGAACGTCTATGTGGGTATTAGACATCGCCAACACCAAGTACTATATTTCAAGATACAATTTGTTTAAAGACAAGTCATTATGTGAAAGAATGACTGATTTAATTCCTTATATTCAATTTTTTTCCGAAATTAATATTATGTTATACTTTAATATTTCAATGGTAACATTTGATATCATTGTTCAATGGATATGTTATTCATGGAGAGGGGCAATACCCAACACTATTATTTGATAAATATAGAATATCAGTCAGAGGTAACATCAATGTACCGATGTGCACATTACATCAAAACTAAACAAATCAAAATATGGTAAAAACTAAAACTGAAGCAAAACCAATTAAGGGGATTGTAATGCATACATCACCCGCCAAACAAATTCACAGTCCGTCAAAATGTTTCTAATCGGGAAAAGGACGCAATTGATAGATTTAATGATAAGAAAATTATTCTGGTATTAAACGATCTAAGTCGTAACCATATCGATTGTGAGTTGAGACACAGAAACAGCGTACTGGTAAAACAATTCGTGATGGTAATCGTAAAACATATGTTATATTAATTTCAGTCGGTCGTCGGTATAACTCTTTTCAAGCAGATTCCTGTTTTTTGTATTCTGTATAGTGCAAACATTCACTAGCGCTTAGTATAAATTGAAACATTCAACCTAAAAACAAATGGGGCAAAGGTTTTAGTATTGCTGAGAAATGGAAAGTTGACAATTTGACAGTTGAAGACGTTCATTAGTGATATTATCAATGACACTTTGGAGATTTGGAGCAGATCATGTAGTTTCTAAAAAGATAATTTATCTTCAGTTCACTTGGATATATAAGATGCAAGCACTCACAGAAATATTGGCACGGAGTGAAAAGACATCGTCAGTATAATTAAAGTGTTTTAACATATGCCTATCCCATTTTCTTGAGCAACACTACTAAATAATGAGAAGGTGGAGTATTATTCGTTTGTGCTACGAAAGGTGTTTATCATCATATTCTTTGTATCTATTTTAAATATTTCAGTCCGAAAAGAGCGAGACCAGGTGCGCCAATAGGGAAGGTGTCTCCGACAATGTAGCATCAACCACGATGTAAATCCACATTCAGTCAAAATGTTACAATCGGTAAGATTATAGATTATTATTGGTATCTTAATATCGAAACAAGCAAAAATGATTCGCACAGACATATCGTTAAGGTCAACCAATTCGTGATGGTAACCGTTTAACTTATGTTTAGTCGATTTCAATCGTTCTCACTGAATACAACACAGTTCATCTGTCGTTTGATTTACACTAGAATGTCTTCAGAATGGCCTCAGTTGATAACATGTCTTGGTCTAAGATATAAAAATAACGTTCGTTTTAAAAACAGAAAAAAACAAATTAAAGTCAGTTAACATTTTTAAAAGGATAGATAACATATCTGCAAAAAAGGATGATGGTTGGTTGGCATATTAAACCCTTGCGATTCATTTAAGCTTACTTATCCTTATAGTAAACTAATTTTAAAAGGTTATCAATTAACCATTATGATTAGATCTTTGCATATTTTCGTCGGTACTAACATACATTTGCTTATCAATAAATTAAAACATAACTAATATGTATATTGCTATTCAGTTGTTTAAATCCTGTCGGTACCTATAGTTTGGTTTTGCACAAGGTCATGTTCTCCAATACTGTTTACGATGTCTTTACAATAGATCATTTGATTGTGTACTGATTGATTATTTTGTCTTGGATACATGATTTTTGTATGATTTGTCTTTGGCATGGAACTAGATTGCAGTCACTGTGGGTATTATTAGATCGGTACGTCATGTCTTTAACGTTTATGTCAGTTGTTTGTTTTGCTTTGTATCAATCTGTTCATACAAGTCCTTTTCAACTGATGTCTGTAGTTTGTTCACAAATGTGTCATATATTGTGCTGTTGCATCCCTGTTCGAATCCCTGTTGTCGTTTTTTTTTTGTATATTATGCTCGTTGTTCGTCTGTGGTTTTGAACATTTACCAGGCATTAAGTTTTCTTATTTGAATTATATTTCAATTTTGTTATGTTCGAGCCTTTTACAGCTTGCTTTGTTATATGTGTTGAGTTCGTTGTTAATTGCCGTATGGCGACATATTGTTGCTAACATCTACGTCGTTTGGAATCATACCACATCTCCTTATGTTTTGTTCATGTCATATTAATGTGAACACTGTTTGGATTTTAATGCCACAATAGCTCCCAAGATAACATTTAACTGGAAGATGTGTCACCTTACATTATTGTGACTTTGAGTCGACGAATCTTTCCTCTAACTTCTTAATGCCGTTCCGGCGCGAAAAACAGCACGTACAAAGTGTTGGTGTGTACCGGATTTGAATTGAACCAACAAATTCCCGCATACAAGTCGACGGATAACCTAGTGACTAAGGGCCTGTTTTACAACATAGGAATAATAACGAAGCAATTAAGCTAAGATTTCAAAGTGTCGAAGTTGAAATCATCCATTGTAAGAATGTACGAATGCAATCACAAGCTGGTTGACTGTTTTTGGAGGATCTGTTTTACAGATGAACACGGACGTGTTCCAATGATCGTAACCACCACCCTGTTCTCATTTCCTCAAATGTGCACTACCAAATAAGACTTATCACTGGTTTGTACTTGCATGAACACCACGACGGATGCCAAAAGTGGATCAGGATATGCTTACCCTTCAGAAGTATTAGGTTATTACATGTCATTTTTCATATCTGATGTATTATCAGCCCAATGTTCTATATCAGCCCAAGAGCCGAAGGTGCGAGGGCTTATATTGGCCGAGGGCTGATAATACATCTGATATGAAACATGACATGTACTGATCGTTTTATTGTATGCTTCAACAATGAAGAAAAATAACAGTTTAATACATTGATCCCTGTAAGTGGTTCTGAAGTAGAAGTTAAAAAAGTTAAAAGTTTACGGACTACGGACGCCAAATGTAATACATCCGATATGAAATCTTTCTATCATATGCCTAAACAGAGGAGAAAAAGAACAGTATAATATATTTTTATATTGACGATAAAAACAAACCAACAAAACATAATGAACACTGTTTTAAAAAGTCAACATTTGTAAAGTAACTTGCTAGGAATTATGCTGGAAACTTTGAAAAATGCATTTATCATGTTTATTGTATCATTTGTTTTGCATTTTACATAAATTATTTTCCTGTTTTCTAATATTTGCAATGTACAGTACTTGTTATGTTTTTCACTAAAAACGTACCATTGAGGTGTAATTTGCCGAGTAACGTCGGAATGCCATGCGATAACGTTACGGAAAGGCATGCGATAAGAGCCTGAAGCAGTTGATATATTATTCAAATCAACCCATTAAGCACCATTTCGGAAAATATGTAATTCAATTAAGTTTATGCTTTTATCATACAGTAAAAATTATAAGTTATTTACTCTAAGTATATGATAACAAGATATATCACTCACGGTAATTGGTGGGGTTTGTTTTTCTATGTTTTTAGTTTGTTTTATGTTGTTGTGTTCTGCGTACTGTTGTTTGTCTTTGGTCGTTTTTTGTTTTTTGCCATGGTGTTGTGTATTCTGTTCCGACTCACCTTTGGTATCTTTCACCTCTTTTGCAGTAGTTAATCAAGGTGGCCAGTTGGTTTATGTAGTGTATCTACAATATTGTTTGCCGTTGTAAGTTCGAGCCTATAAGTGCTTGTCAACGCCGAAGTTGTCAGTTCGAGATTGTTCGTTTGACCCCAATCCTAATTGTCAGTTTTTGTACTTAAGGTCGATTGTTTTCTCTAGGTACTTAGACCTTTTACCCCTAATAAAACAGACCTACATGGTAAAGCCAAAGAGATATGAAACAATGTTAAACACCACCAATTTATCAAGCAATCAGAAGTTCAACCAAAAATGCACATATTGCTTATTTCAAATAACATTAACCTATA